TATGCATGTAAAACATATATATATATAAAAAACACCCAGCACGCCCCTGCGGGCGGTTTATCCTTCAAGCTCGGGTCCTCTACCAGAGGCCTGGGAGCTTGAGGGTCCTGCGCAGTATCTTAGCTGTTCCCAGGACTGCGCTCTTCTGGACAGAGATCTCCGATGTTATTCCCGGGATTTGCTGGAGCCACTCGCCTAGCTTGGGAGTTACCGCACCTAGTGCTCCGATTACCACGGGGACCACCGTTACCTTCACCCTCCACATCCTCTCGAGCTCTTCTCTGAGCCCTTGGTATTTCTCCAGCTTCTCGTGTTCCTTCTTCCTGATATTGCTGTCATTCGGAACCGCTACATCGATCACTACGGCCGTCTTCTTCTGTTTGTCTACCACCACTATGTCCGGTTGGTTAGCCACCACCATTTTGTCCGTCTGTATCTGGAAGTCCCACAGGATCTTAGCTCGGTCATTCTCCACCACCCTTGGGGGCATCTCCCATTTTGACCTCGGGACTTCCAGGTTATACTCGGCACAGATGTTCCTGTACACTATGCCGGCCACTTGGTTGTGGCGTTCCATGTATGCCTTGCCTGCTAGCATCTTGCACCCTGCTGTTATGTGCTGGATTGTCTCTGGGGCATCTTTACACAGCCTATATATATATATATATATATATATATTTATTAAGAGCATATTATTATTACATTTTTGCATTTCTCTGAACAATCACACAGTATTAAGAAAGTTATTGCATGCAAATTTGTGTTGATTTTAAAAAAAATTTCGGTTTACTTTACTATTTACTTTTACATCTGTAACCAAATATTGCAGTACTGTATCTCAAAGACTGAAAATTGTCTATATTTTGATGTATGAGTTATGCATGGGCTAACGAGGTTTTTTCCCCCCTAAAGGATCCGTATTTTTGGTGCAGTGATAGTTTGACTCGACTCCTGATGGAACATTGGATGTTTAGTGACATATGGCTTACAATGTAACAACTAATGACAGCGGACTATCTGTGTGGGATATCTAATCTATTGGCAACACTACCACACTATCTATCCATACATCCATTTTCTCAACTGCTTATCCAGTTCAGGTTCGTGGGGGTGCTGGAGCCTACTGCAGCTGTCCTTGGGCAAGAGATGGAGTACACCTTGGATAGATTATCAATCCATCACAGACCTAACGCACAGAGACAGACAATCATTCGTGCTTACATCTACACCTATGGTACAGCTAATTTGGAATCACAAATGAATCTAAAATGCACTTCTTTGGACTGTGGAGGAAAGCTGGCATACCCGGAGAGAACCTGCACAGACGCAGAGGGAACATGGAAACTCCACAACAGAAAGGAGCTCAGCTAGCCAGGAGATTTAACCCGGAACCGTCACGCTGCGATACAACAGAATAAATGACTGCATACTGGTAGCGCTGCAAAAACTTTACTTGCTTTATGAGGTGAGTTAATGTCCCACCAGCTGAACTAGTTTGATCCTTTTTGAAGTTGTGACTTTTAAAACAGATGAGAAACAACTTGCTGGTGTTTCAAAATTTCTCAGGGAGGTGAAGTACTCACAACACTTTTTTTTATAGCCAAGCCATTGTGAAGTAATCAGTATTGACCTTTAGCTTTATTCATTTCCCCAGTTTTCCCAATAGACAAAAACCACATCACATGGACCTTGTCCTTGGGAGCTGGCTTGCTCGATTTACATTCTCGCAGGAACCTCCGTCAGGTGACATCGAGAAAAGTTCAGAACTGCAGTACTTGAAAACTTAAAAAATGTAAAAAATGAATAAATGTGCAGAGGGCCCAGCAACAGCAACAACCACTGCAGTGCCAACAGCAGGGTTTATTATGCTATCCTGTTTCACCACTTTCTTCCTCACTACCCTCACACGGTACTTGTATTTCTACTCTCTGAAGTCACCAATCACAACATCCCTGGTATATAGCTAACTGCAGCTGAAGTGTGGAGCGACGAGGTCCCCAGTGAGCACAGGCAGGCCAGGGTGTAATCATGTCCACTCAGGGCCCCTGTGCTAACGCCTGCCTGTGCTGCTATCAGCGGGCACTGATAGAAGCTGACAGGGTTCAGAGTGAGAGCGACACGCAGCAGCGCCTCTGACCTGAGCGACGGGCGATACGGTCGTGACCGGTCATCGGTGTTTTGTTAGTGAGGAGCAACAGAGAGGGAAAACAAAAACAACGCCAATGCTGTTCACACAGTTGCTGACAGGATTTGCCTGAGAAACCTGTGAGTGCTTCACTCGGGTGTTTTAAAAGGATAATCACACCCTTTTCCTCTCTAATGTTACCAGTAAGTTATCTCATCAATCTACATGATAATAGTCATGTCTTTACTTTGTTTTTCCTACTGCCAGTAGTCATTTACAGCATTTCCCACAATGCCTTTCGACAGAACATGCCCGAACGTGTTGCATTTTAGCTGTGAACAAAAGCATGTCTCCTTGCAGTCAGGAAAGCAAACGAGCAATTCAAAAATGTCTTAATGATGAAATGTCTTTATGAGCATAAACTGTAACTTCTTCATTGCCTTCTGTGACACGTTCCTCACTATGCAAATGATGAAATTCAGTGCAAATTAGTGAAGCATTCAGAGTCCTCAGTGTTCCCTGTAAAAAAGTATTGAAAGGCCCAGAATACACTGCTAATTTTGGGTATCATATCAGACAGTCTTAGTACTTATCCAGTTAAATATGATAGTGTGACAGTTTCTGTTTACATTTGCAGTTACCCAATGGGACACATAAGGCTTAACAAACGCAATGAATGCATTTACTTTTAGAATAGAAAACTCCATTAGTTACATAATGTACATTTGCAGTCCTCTTTACATTCTCTGGTAGAGCTTTAGCGTGTTACTCATGATGCTACTGCCACTTGTACGTCCCCAGAACAACGTGAAGCCATTGGTTATTCCAGTGTTTTTCTCCTCACATACACTGCTGTGTATGTATTTTGCCAACAGTGAAGTTGCAGCGTGTCTTCTGATGGACAAACTATGCAACAGACACAGGATGCACTGAATTTGGATTTCTTACCCGTGTGCAATCTGGTCACCAGTCTTTGTACTGATGTAGCAGCACAGAATGAGCGCTGTTTAATATTTACAAGATATTCCAACACTTTTCAGGAACAAAGAAGTCACCTTAATGCAGCTGCAGTCATTAGAAGCTGTTATTAATCCTGCCGGAATGGGTGAGGAGCAGGGAGCACAGTAAAAGCAAGCCTTTCGGGGTCTTAAATGAAATGTTTCTCGTTGCAAGGTTAGTAGCAAACAAGGTCGATTTCTGCTGATGTTAGAAAAAGTCTGAATAACCGAAGGAAATGTGCGCGCTGCCATTCAGAGCCAACTTTCTGAAAGCAGGAGTGCATACAAAATGTAGGTCACAGCTTAATAATCGCATTGAATATGACATTTTTAAAGGAAAAAAAAAAGCACAATCCTAAGTTTTAGATGTCTAACTCCCCATGAAGCCCAGCACCAAATTAACTGCTGTGTGGGAGTAGTGTTGTGGAGCGCGATCTTTCTGCTACGGAAAATAAATTCTGCTGTCATATCAGACAACGGCACCAGACTCAGTGTTAGGTGTGAAAACACAAAAGCCTGGCTGCATCTGCCCCGTGAGCGCACGCGCACACCATTTACATACAGGACGACACACGCTCGCGCAGCAACATACCTCTACTCGTACTCAACTCGCATGGGAGAAACATGTTGACCTCATTCTTTCATCGGGAGCCACATAATAATAGGATTGTTTAGAAGGTGCATTTGACAAAAAAAGGGTCTAAATCCAATTAAGTGACAAAAACTAAAGACAACCTATAAAAATAAACATCCACAGCATGATTATATTTCATTTTGAGGTGGAAGAGTGGAAGAACTGTGACAAGGGAGGGACAAAAACCTTATCCAACTACAGCATATAGTAAATAACAAGATTATTAAATGGTATTAACTATAAGTTGATTTCAGTAGGGTTCTTCTTATTCTCTCCGGAGCCTATTTGACTCTCTGAACTAACTGTAACAAATCCATTGACACCTACAGTGACTGATGAACCCACACAGTCGCAGCCCAGCGCACAGTGCCTGCACACTGGAACGCCGAAGCGGAGCTAACAAATACAGGACATTAACCAATCGGATGAGTTTTATAATCTCATGCTATGTCAGCAGGTGAGCATAGAGCATACAGTACAGTGTATCTGCACAGTACATTGGCCTAGAGCAAAGGAACACCAATAACATGACAGCTCCACGCAGCCTCAGCTAACCTCTCCCATGTATCAATCAGCAGCTCACTGTGGTGACCTCATATCTGGATCATCTGTGCAGCAGCTCTGAGACATCAGGCTTTCCATTGTGCTGCTCTTCCTAAACAGCTTGTGCAGCTTCTTAATTAAAAACACGGTGACTCCTCTGCAGATCTGTGCTTTCAACAGTCCCGCAGCTTTTTTTGTTTTTTTCAGCCACTCTTTCTTGAAAGCTCTCTGCAGAGCCTCTCTTGCACTGAATCCTGGGTATTCCCAGTTGGGTGTCTCGCAAAGGTTGCAGCATCCAGTGGACACCGAGTGGCACTAGACAGCAGCTTGGCAGATCGCTGACACTATTTTGTTTTGCTCTGACAGGAAGACAGACGTGTCTTCGCAGAGCTGAGGGGTAGGAAGGATCAGCACTGTTGTCCTGTTAGTAAACACTTAAGTGAGACATTAGAACGTCTGCAGGAACTTAATCTGCTGGGTCAGAGGCATGGGGGCAAGAAATAGGGGTGAGACCTGGAATACCATAATAGGCATGGAGTGTTGCTGCCTTAAAGATGCATAACATCTCCAAGCAGGCCGAGACCTATCCTGAAACTACAGGGCCCATGAGTCCAGCATATATTTGTGAAAAACAACCCCCAACAGCCACACTTAATTATGGAAATTACTCTTTTTTTCCCCAGCACATGATTTCACCAACCTTTTCACTCTTATGATCTGATCCCTCATCGGCTTTATGTCCTGGAAGCTTTGCTGGTTGACAAGGCTGTAGACCAATATGAATCCTTGACCGTTTTTGATGTACAGGTCGCGCATTGAGGCGAACTGTTCGGTCCCAGCGGTGTCAAGGATCTCCAGCACCGAGGGCGAGGAGTCCACCTCGATCTCCTTGCGGTAAAAATCCTCTATGGTGGGGTCGTACTTTTCAATGAACGTCCCGGTCACAAACTGCACAGTGAGGGCGGATTTCCCGACCCCACCGCTGCCCAGGACCACCACTTTATACTCGCGCATCGTGGGATTTAAATCAAGTCGTAAGGTATCAATCTCCGCGCGTCATTGAAATCAACGCAAAATGCTCCAGTGCGAATCACGCTCACCATTCGTGTCCCATTCTGAACGGGCTGTCAATAACACAGTCTTGTTCGCTGCTGCTCAGCTATGGCAGAGCACAAAGACTCGGCACCCCAAGATGGATTTCATTGTAGATATTCCCCCCATGCAGGCCAGACACTGACAGTTATACGAGCATCCGAGGACTGGAAGTGTCCGAAAAATGCGCAAAGGGAGAAAAAGAAGCTCGCCCGATGATGTTGAACGTGCGGGTGTTCATCTGCTTAGCTCACCCCTCTCTGTACTTCATAAAAAAACAAACTTGCTCCATCGAGGACGCTGGGAAAACGCTGGCTTAGCCTCGGAATGAACTGCAGGCGCGATTTATTAAGCTGTAGACCGCCTTAGAGAAACTCTCCCAAATTAAAGTGCCCTGACTTTCAGTTAAAGAACTTGCGTCTCTTTGTTTCTGTTTCACCATCTCTGACATGTCTCCGCTTCTCCCCCGCTCTCCAGTGCGATTCCAGCCGCCATACTCTCGGGTGGAGACCCGCGGCCGCTGCGTTACCAGCCGGTCCCCACTCGGCTCCCGTACCGAGGAACCAAAAAAAAAGAAAAGAAGAAAAAAGGAAAAGCCTGTGGATCCTCCTTCGTCAGATGGATACGCGAACAGCCCAATGGGCGCTTCCGCTTTCTGTACACCTCACACGTGCCTAAATGGCAGCCTCACGGAGGCAGCCAGTGAGATTTGTCGCCGACATTTCCGTTCATGTGTTAAAATTCCCATCATTCGGTTGCCCCAGTGACATCCAAAGAGAGCTCATCCAATCACGGAGGCGGCTCGGGGATGTGTATCCAAGAGGAGGTGAAACGCACCGGATGCTGTTGCTATGGTAACGCTGCATTTAAAAAAAATAATTTTTTTTAGCTGCGATCCGAATCGAGAGTGAAAAGTCACTCACCTTGTAAACAAAAAATATAATAAACCTTTATTATTCTTTGATAATGAGCAATACAGGCTATGTAACACACTCCAATTGAAACCGCCAGGTAAGTCTTTTTAATTGACTACTTTAGCTTTCACTAATAGTGATAAATACAATTTCACAGGACAGCTGTTTGAACAAATTGTAACACAAAAACATGAAAACATGCTCACTGAGGATGACACGTGGTTTCTACTGCTGATGCATTGCAAAATTAAACACAGCTCACAGGATGGCATTTACACGACATTCATATATTTATTTATGTATATTTAATATCAGATTGTACACAATTTAGAATTTACAGGAACAAAAAATATCCACAAGAAATGTTTAATTATACACAATTACTTTTGGGGAAAATGTTTGCATTCAGACCAGTATGGATCCAAATAGCTGTTGCGTGACATCTTAACGAGAAGCTTCAGGGTTTAAATATGACAGGTTGCAATAAAATGCTAGCCAACCCCACAAGCCAATCAATATCAGCTATTTCAGGTGTCGTCACAATGTAATAATGTCCTCATATTAGAAATGTGTGTATCTTAATTTAAGAGAAATGTTCAGTGAAGTTTATTCTATTTATTAGACGACATAGAAATCATAATTAGTGAACAAATACAGACTCAGTAATACACCAAAGGTAAGGCAAAGTTCACACAAAGCCTGTCTTCTCAGTTGTCTGACTGTAGAAAAAGTGCTTATGAGAAGTGTTTCCATCAGTCAGTCAGACCAAACATTCTTACTGTTCACATCTTTTTGACTGGGCGAGATCTCAAACAACCTCTGTGTGCAGGTGGATCCATGACATTCAAACGTTTTGCCATAACATAACACAAACATTCAAAAACATGCCTTTAAGTAAAATAAATAAGTGGGGAAATATTGTATGTCTAATAGCAGTCTAAACTTTTAAAGCAATTATATTTTGAAAGCCAAATACATTTTTAAGTTTGGTGCTCAACATGCAGAGGGAAGCCTTAACAAACACGAAACTAACATTTCAAAAGTTCTCTTTTATGCACTGTTTTACCCACAGTGTTTCACCATATAATAATAAAGTTAAATATCCAAGTTTCTTCCAAGTAATCTAATTACTGTGAGGAGATACAGCTAATCTACCACCGACCAAAATACAGTTTTCATCACTGCAACTTGGGATTGCCCTCAGCAGCAAATCAGACAATAAATGACAAACTACTGTTACACCATTATGAAAATTACTTCTTTTCTTTTTTGGAAAACATGTCCTGTATGATGCACTTTTGTACATAAAAATCAATCCTATGGCCTTGGTCATACAAAGGCTTGTTGTCCCTTACAGGCAGCAAAAATGATGAATTGCTTTAAGTTTCTCCTTTGTCCAACATCAATCCCTGGACACAAGACCGCTTTTAATAGGCTAACAGATCAAGGTCCTTTGAGAAACCCTCAGCAGACCTAAAGTAATTTTAATAAATTGCATTCATCACAAAATAAAAGAATACATGTTAAAACTATTTTGAACTAATATTACACCAGTAAAATTATGCTCGTAAATTCTATTGACATGTAAAACATCACAAGGAAAATATATAATAAAAAAGTGAAGAAATGCAAAAGATTCAATGAAAGGTTTCTATTTGTACACCTTGTTTGCAAAATAGATAACTAAAATTCTAATAAAAGAAAGAAACAGTATTTCTCTTAATCAGACACAATGCCCACCCTGTCTGCTGCTAAATAGTAGACAGCAATGAGTAACTGCATCATGCCGCGTCAATCTCTCATGACTACATGTCACCAAATGTTTGCCTCCTTCTACTTTACTACAAAAGTATTTTGCCCTTTTTGCTAATTTCTTGTCGAAAAATGAAAGAAAATCAAATTAAATTGAAAATTACATTGAATAACATACACATTAAAGCATCAGTGAAAACAAACTGTAAGCCTAATTAACAGGTCCACACACACATAATACCACTGCATTTACATGGTATTGCAAAAACACGTAGATTTAATCCTAATGTATATGTCTTAAGTGGAATAGATTTTCTGAGTGTTTTTCCACACAAACCTTTTCAAATATACTTAATCATTGCATGCACAACTGTTTAGGCACTTGTAACCTTCGATTAATACAGTACTGACAAGTGACTGCAACCTTAAGACTAACAGTTGAGACACTACTCAACACGCAACCCTCACAGGATCACAAGAGCTTTAGTTTGAATATGAGCAGCAGTAACTTCATACTCTTACTGAGCTGACTTTCATGGCTGTGGAGGCTATATCAACTTGAACAAGTGAAAAGTATTTACAGATCCATCAGTGAGTCAGCAATTGTCTTGAGCAATAATGCACATTTACTAAAGAGGTGTTAAATTAGAAAAACAAAATTGCTTTGAACGGATAAAACATTTCATTTCTCTCAGAAAAGACAGAAAACAATCTGTATATGTAATGCAAAGGCACACCAGGAGGTGGAGCACTGATCCATTACTCTGGGTGAAGTATAGAGGGACTCAGAGCATTTTTAAAGGGACATCCATAAACCTGCTGTTAGATTACATTTTTTTTATATACACAATTTTTTGTTAAGTTTAAAGTTAAATTAAGTGCTTTTCTCTTTGATTAAAAGTTAAATCTGGCACTAGATGAGCAATCATTATCATCAAAAACAAAACTTTCTTAGTTTAAATAACACATTCAATAAAGAATATGATGATGATAAAACTGCAATATAATCTACAATATAGGACGCCTTTACACCTGACATTAACAGGTACTGTCTACAGACTGAGAACTGATTAAAATATTTACATTATTTAAAACATCTCTGTTGTTTAGTTTTATGCCACTACTGCCAGTTTACTTCTCTGTAGCATCTATTGTATTTAAGTTTGATTGGTGGCTAAATGCACTCATAACCCTATCAGAATTAGTTTAGGAAACAAATAAATAATGCACATTGATCGTTGAAGGTGCATGTTAGCAGGTGCAAAGGCGTGTACAATAACAATCTCTCTGACACCTATTACAGTATAATGTAGAGGTTCATTATAACTGCATGTAATGTATCATCATCATCATCATCATAATGTCAGATAAAGTCGGCGATGTTATCCACATGCAGCCTCTTGTATTTTGTGTGTATTGTTAACAGAATATTTACAGAACGGCTGCCCGGGACCCTTAACAGCAGCAACACGGCACTGGCTTCTGTTTCTGGCGGTTACTTGAGGATGATCTGTTTCGGAGGCAAAGACAAGTCACTGAGTAGTTTCACACAACAGGTATACTTTACAATCGCCTTTGTTACAAGACAAAGATTATTAAGGAACTCACTTCTCACTCTTAAGTGATATGAAAATACAAAGTTTAAGTGAAATGAACTTTATTCTCTTGATACATAGTTTTGTAAAAATGCGGCTTGACCTTGGAGCTAATTTAAGGTTAAAAGTTTTATTGATTTGCAAAAGTGATTTGGAACTGAAATTATAAGTTTTGATATTAAAAAATGTGTTTAAACAATCAAATGAATTATTTTACACATTGAATAAATTGTTTTATGCATTTTTAAAAACAGTTTTAACTATTTATCAGCTTCAAACCCTTTTTTTTCCAGTGTCAGACTTTTGACCGTGATTTTGTGTTGTGGCTGTGTATCAAAGGGGAGGGGTGCGTGTAGACTAGTGATTGAAAGCTCCTGTGTCACGTTGGTTACAAGTTTAAAATGAGCATTTTGGCTGAAGATGGTCACTGCTCCTTCACGGGATGCTGCCGGCACCAGCCACAGTTTCAGATTGTGCTATAATGGACTATATTGATGGGTCAATATTTGAAACATATTGATATACATACATGTGGGGAAAAAATTTACCCCTACAACAAGGAATACTGTTATCTGATTGGGTGGTAGGTTGCAAAAAAGCTATATTGAAATTAGAATCTCGCCCACCTTATTTAAACCTAATGTAAAAGAGTTCATAGCACCTGCAATATCAATATGTTACAAACATTCACTCATCAATATAGTCAATCATAGGATAATCCAGGAAACCATGTTTCTTACCTGTTGGCTGGTGCCAGCAGCATCCTGTAAAGGAGCGATGACCATCTTCCATCAAAATGCTCATTTTAAACTTGTAACAAATGTGACACAGAAGCTGTCAATCATCAGTCTACACCCACCTCTCCCCCTTCATACATGCCCACAACACAAAATCAGGGTTAAAAATCAGAAAATGATCAAATCAGATGTAAAATAAAAAAATAAACGTAAACTCTAACAAAAAAAAAAAAAAAATGAAAACAAATTTATTCAAAATAAAACATTTTAAATATCAAAACTTAGAATTTCAGTTTCAAAAGACTTTTCAAATGAATAAAACTTCTGACTCTGACTTAGCCCCACACTTTTATGCCAGTGGTCATGACAAAGTTTAAATACTAACTTATCCGTATGTCCATATGACTTCATTCATTAAACATTAAAAAGACAACAGTAATCAAAGTAAAGAATACCAAATACTTTAGATTTACTCTCTCAATCCTAATATTAAATGTTTCAAACTAGCCAATTGAGGAAATGTGAATAATATTTTTTATTACACGAATAATAAAAATCTTATATTAAGACGTTGCACACAGAAAGTCAGCATAACCAATATCAAGAACTGTATGGTTAAGTCCTATATACTGTAGCTTGTGTTGGAAAAGACACTGACATCAACCAAAGCATAAAACATGCAATAGAGAATATAAGCGACACCACAGTTTGCAGATGGAAGAGCTAGAAATATGTTTTGTTTCTAAAGGAAAGGATGAGATGCAGCCTAGTTGGTCTACGAGGTACACGAAAGCTTAATGCTGCAATGCAAGCCGGGCATCTCTACGCTGATGAAGCAACTCCCCTGATTGAAAGATGAAGCACTTATTTAGAGCTCAAGGATTTATGACAGAAAGCTTTAAAAAGGAGCAAACCTGATTGGTTGGTGCTGTTGCTGCGTAGGGGACACTTGTGGCGGGAGTAGTTGCTGCAGAGACAGTAGCAGGCGTAGCACTGTACATCATGGGGACTTTTTCAGGAAGGGAACCATGAAAGCAATGAAAAGGGAGGTGGAGCATTATGGTAACCATAGCAATGTATCTCTCTCTCTTGCCAAGCAAATACAAAATGACATTAGCAGCAAGCCATCATTGGGTTAGACCAGCAGATGGCATGTGATCACACAGCAAAGCGAGACAGCAGGGGAAAAACATAAAAGGAGGGCTGATAAGAGATAAAATTAGGAAATCTGTCCATAATCTGGCATCCCACAAGATATGGCATGTAAAGCTATGCCACCAGAGGTGATCAATGTGTTTGTTTGTTGTTGTTTTGTTTTTTTAAAATACAACATTTACAGAGTTTTACTATTAATACAAAACATTAAAGAGCATAAACTATGAGGTAAATCTATGGGATGCTGATCAAATTTCCTAATCACAATCCAGAATAAACCAAAAGTGCTTACATTTCTTTACTGTGCTTTGATTATTTAAAATAATTTTACAAGCATATATACATACAGGGCTCTGATCAGAAAGGCAAAAAATGAAACATAAAGCTAAAAATGTTTACTAAAAAACTAAAGTAATCTCTTGTTTTTTTCAGTTTTTGTTCTCATCCAGTTTCCTGGTTCAAAGGGTTGATTTCTCATCCGTTAATAGTAAGTATACTCTACCTTATCCAGACAAAGTAATGTATTCTTTACTACAAAAGGACATGGTTAAAGAAGAACATGGAGGAGGCACCTACCAATGCCATTAGCTGGAGTCATGCACAACACAGAACCTGTGTGATTTACAGGTGAAAAAAGAAAAGGTCTTTATCAAAATCGACATACATTAATATGGTCAATACTGGTGTAAGCCCATAAAAACAGATCTTTACTTTATTAAACAGGCCCATTGTGTTAATGCAGCATTGTTTTGTTCTGATGGATACAAGCTGAGTAACACAAAACTAGTGTTTTGTAGTTAGTGTTCACTAACTACAAAACAGGCGCATTAACATAGAATACATTTAAGAGAAATTTCTGCAAGCAAACAGACCTTTTCAAACCAGACATTTACACTGGTCGCATTAGGTGAGGTGTAGGTGTATGGAGAGAAATTGCCTCAAAAAAGGTTACAAATATGTACAGTATGACACACAAGACCCCCCACCAAAAGAAAACAAAGGAAATCCCAATTTTACACCAGAACATGAACACAGCTTACATATATGGATCTGTGCAAAGCTGACCTTGTGAAATGTGTCTCAAAAGCCCACGTGTGCATACTAGGCGATTAGTTCACATGGTTTTGTAAGTGAGCGAGAGGGATGTTACGTGTAGTTTTAGACATTTGTATACACAGAAAATTATCCGATTTGTGAAGCTGAACTTAACAAATTGTGTGTAAATGATCAGTATTTAGTCAGGTTTAAATGTATGCATTTGTAAATCTTAGTTTACGCGTGTGTATCATACTGTACACATTTGTAATTCTTTGAGGCAAATTTCTCCCCATATAGGTGTGTCTATGACCATGACTTGCCAACTGACATATAGCACACCTGTTGCCTTGAAGAACCTGCCCTGGTTGTTAAGAGGTCATCAATTTGCTTTGTAACCACTGCTTCAATCTTTAATAGTTTACTGGTTCTACTGGAGTAACTGAGAGCAACTGTTTTTCATAACAGTCTTACTTTTCGTAACATGAGTTTAACAAAGTTTAATTATAAGCTATGATAAAGCCAAGAATCTTGCAGTGACATGTCAAAAACCTGTTAGTGTAAGGATTAAGAGTCACACCCTTTTTTGAAAGCTTTGATATAACAGACCTGTTCACAAGGAGTGCTGCTGATCCTGCAAATTTCTTCAGTTAAGTAACAGTAATACATGATGTGATATTTGCGAACAATATCTGACGGCAATAAGCACTGAGACAGACACGGAAATCTAGCTTAGCCATGGAGTCATAGCAGGTTTGGAAGCTCACCTGTGGGATAAAATGCTGCAGTGGGCTGCTGCAGAGTCTGTGAGCTGACCAGAGCCTGCTGGTAGTGCAACAAACTGGGGCTGAGGAGAGAGCCGGCCCAGCTGCTCTTCTCAAGAACTGGTCTCTTTGGTAGGGGTTGCAGAACACTATGGGGAAAGGCCTGGAAAGGGACAAGAGGCAATAAGACACTTCCCATATTTCTGTTACGCACACCTTTAAAAGGATATGTTAGTATTTATGTTTAAAAAATGATACACATGACTAAAATATAAAGATGACACAATGAAAAAAAAAACTACCACAGATATGACTGGTGTAATGTATTCACCAAAACTTATTTGACAACTTGAGCACTTAAAAATACCCATGCTGACAGATCATGTACAGAAGGGCAATATAAGACTTGAAGAAGCCGTAAACCCCAATGACAAAAATGAAAAGTTCTCACAGTACAATTAATAGCTACATGCAAAGCAAAAGGTGAAAGTACCAGGTCTACAGTTGCCTCGAGGGGTCGCTTCATTGCTTTGGCAGTCGACTGAGTCTTTTAATAGCAGGCAGCGAGCACATGATGGCAGTGGGCCAATGGGATTCAAGCGTATTAACATACAGGTAACAGCAAGCAGAGGTGCATCATGGAGGACAGCATTGTGGATAGGTGAGAAGGGGAAAACAAAACAAAAATAACCTGAATGTAGTATACCACATAAAACACAATATTCATGCACAGTAAGGACACATTAAACTAAAGATTCCTTAATTAGTAGGTCAACATGTACAGTTAATGAATCATTTTGGCAACAAAGACTTATAATAAAAAGGGTGTAATAGCCTTAAACTATACATCAAGTTTGAGAACAATGCTTAAAATGAAAGATATTAAAATATTAACAAAACCTACTATGCACACAAAAGGATTTTGGAACACACTGGTTTTATGACTCCAAGTGCAGGATACTGATATAATGCACAGCAAGCACTTAACAGTTTCATAATTAAATGAAAGATAGCTTGGTTTTATGAAGGTAGCAAAGGCAGTACCACAAATCAAAAGCTAAAACAACCATGCACCTGATGTCACAAAGCACAGAATGTGGAGCTCCATTTACTGCATTCACACTAAAGCTTTTGAATTACAGAGGTCTCCTTAACTTGTACAGTACATAAGAACAACTAACAACTTAAACTACAACCTAAATAAAAATGTATGGAAAAGAATTAACCATAAAAGATGATGTATGCTAGACATGATTTTTAAGTAGAATGGAGGCCAAAGAAGCATAATTTAGTGAGCCAATGTGGCTTTAATATTGCACTAAAGAAAAGTTAATAGAAATTGTGAGAAGCCTGATTGTGCATTACATTTAAAGGCTATTTAATGCTACTTAATGACGCAATTTAAAAAAAATCCAAGAAAAATTGTAGCTGTAAGACTTAATGAAGAGGATCAATTTAAAATTGCTAAGACTATGTAATAGATCTCTCTGTTTTATGCACTGCCTTATGCAGCTCAGTCCATCAGGAACATTTCTCAGTTAACTTAATATATGTGTACCGCATATGAAGCATCTGATGTATGCCCCAAATTAGGCAGTGTATAACCCTCAATAGTTCTTAAATTCAAGAAAATAATGCACAGCTCTAATGCAAAACCTCCAAATGCAAAACTGCATCCTCGTGCTTTAGACCATATAAATCTGTGAGAGGAAGGTGTCAGATTCAACTGTCTGAAGTTTTACATAGGAAATCAATATTGTGACCTCTAAGAAGTTTTATTTAAAAATAAAATACTGGTGCATTTCTTTGATATTAAACTACTTCAGGAGTTGCTGCTTAAAGTTTTGAGAGGAGCTTCTATTCAACTTCACTGAACGTACCATTACAAATGCTTACAAATATGCAGCACTCCACATTCAGCAATTTCATAGACAGAACAATGATGAACACTTTATCAATCATCAGAAGGATAACACTCTGACTTACCACAGCTGCAGCTGCGGCCTGTGCTGCCACTGCTGTCTGATTGACTTGTTGTTGACTGGATTTGATTTTGGCCTGCAAGTGTGCAGGCGGGTGAAAATACTTGCACTTCTCCCTGGAACAGCGACTCTTGATGTAGTCCATGCAAACAGTGACAGTGTTATCCGTGGTGTCAATCATTGGGCTGTCACTGGGATGAGCAAAGCGGCAATCTGTCTCCCCTCTTGCACAGTTTCCTCGCTGAAACTCACGACACACCTGAGAGGAGCAAGAGGAGTTCAGCTTTTAAATGTGTAGCCAGATCATGTGAAACCGCATAAGCGCTAATGTATTTTTATGTGAAGTCACGCCTTGGTGTGCATGAATACCTCTAGTTTGTCTGAACGCTGAAGCTTCTGTGAGGGAGAAGAAGAGGAAGAGGAGGAGGAAGAGGAGGAGCACTGGACTGAGACAGGTGAGCTCCCTGGAACAAGAACCGGAGTGCTGGAGAGGATGTCTGAAGGAATGAGGCTCATTCCATGGCTTAATGGTGTCATGTATGAACCATAACCGAGACCAGCGTTTGTGCCAAGTCCCTGTGTAAATGTTGGCTATGAGGGAAGAGCATACATATTATGTGTGAGAATGCAATCCATCAACATCACACTGACTTAAAATTCCTCCTGAACCAGGACTTTACCACAGGCTGCAGGCTGGGTCCAGGGATCATGAGCTGCATCTGCTGGGCAAGCACGGCTGCTGCAGTCTTCTGATGGATGAGGTTGTTGCGCCCATTTATCTCTAACTGGGTTTTTAAGTGTGAAGGTGGATGAAGGTACTTGCAGTTTTCTCTTGAGCATCTGCCCTGCATTCAGAGAAATTATAAAGTGAAATAGAAGCATTTTCATTCATATCATAAAGAAATTTTACAATCTGATAGACTAAAAATGTTGCTGAATCAAAAGACTGAGAAAAAAATGAATGTTTTGTTTTCATCAAAATCCTGTAAGATTGTCTCAAAGAAATGTAATCGTCAACATGTTTTTTCTCCACAGCTCTCCCACTCAGGCTCCACTGTCAGCGGTGCTGTGTTGCATGACGTGACAGCTAGTCGTGGCTAGAATAAAGCATTTTACATTGCAATGATGGATGTCAAAATTTTCTTGAGTCAGGCACAAGACTTTACTTGCAGACAATTAGTGTTGAAAAATGCAAAAGAATAAACTGTTGCAGATTATGTGTTGCATTACATCCTTTATTTAGACTCTCACAGATCAGATCAGAGCTGGTACTCAGAAGTGTTAATCAGCAGGTTAAATGATTTTTCCCATGAAAATTTCACAGACTACACAATTCTCAATCCTACCCGACCCACCTACTATCCAAAATCATTCACTGCACAGTCACTGAACATCAGCTTTGAATGCAACACTTGTGCAGCATATACTGTGCATTACAACATGCATTGGCTAATTACACAGGTTTTTTTACTCATTTAGCCTTAACGGTGGTATATTTCAGCGGTTTGTTTTTAAGCCTAAATACAAAACCTGAAAAACCCTTTATTTATTTATTTATTTTACCCTCAATATGAGCCAATCAAAGCCATCCCTGCCACTCAGGCATTTATATTAACCTAATAAGAGATGAGCGTTCTCTCTCCTATATATTCAAGTTCTCAGACTCATGTCTGCTCATTTAAATTTCTTCTGACATTCATTTAGATATATATTCTGAATACTGGTTATTAATTTGTCTTATCTATAAAGAAAAAATGTAGTACTCACAGAATGAACCAAACAAGGAGATACAACAACCAAGGAATGACTTGACTTTATATCTTCAGCATCTAGCCCTAGAAAATTTTCAGAAGTAATGCCTGCTGGTACTGAACTTTAGCCCTGATATATAACAAAAACGTATCGTCTACAATAAAACTGTAGAAACAGCAAGCAAAAGGAATCAGCTACATCTGGACATCAACAGTACTGTTGGGTGCTTTATTAGAAGCCACGAGGATCTACTTACAATACCAAAGAGTGTGCATATTCTTCAACATGATGACATTAATTGTATTAGGATTCACTGGTGACTGGGAAAGTTAACAGTAATTGTTTTGACATGTCCTTCTCACTCACAACCCTGAATTGAACAAAAATCGTATGGCAACAACGTCAGCAGGAAAGCCAAGAGAAAAATACGAGGAAAACACGTCTCTGAATGGCTAGCTCTCACTAAGCAAACAAGGGCTCAATACTACAAAACATCATTGTAAACTTTGACATAGTTAGACAGAGTTCCTAAAAATTGGAAAAGCACAGCTTGACATTCATTCTCGAAATTCCAGTAGAAACTCTATACTCCCCTTAAGGTACCCTGTTGAAAAAACATTTTAGTCTGGCTCTGAATAAACTGCACATTTTATTTAGAGCAACGAATGAACATTTGTTAGAAAATCTTCAGCTAATTTGACAAATAAAAATCATAAATAAGGCATTTTAGGGTATCCTTTATCTCATGTAACAGTAAATTAAGTAGTTTTGAAAAATATTTGCTTGCTGGTCAAATAAAACAAGCACTTTACTTGTGAATAGGACAATCAGTTTAGATCATTTTTATATATGAATATAATTTATTTATACTCTTTCTTGAGTTTCTTGAAAGGATCTATTCAAATCTATTATAATTATGATCATTAAATTTCCATATTAATCAATATGAAGGTAATGCAGATAGTTGCAGTTGTAGCTTTTCTTTTCAAAGCAGAGAGCTGTTCTCACTTTAATATTTTATGAGCAAAATGTAATACAATCTTTTACAAAGGAAATTACAGATTTCTGGCCGACTACTTTGCAGTAAAATAAATATTATGGAAACCTCTAATCACTTTGATAAGTTGAAAAGTGCTTGGTGCCACTTATCTACAACATAAAGCCAATGTCTGAACTAATAAAACCCCCCTTTCAGATATGCACCCAATTAATCTGTTGTTCCATTATTCTGTTGGCATCTGAATGTGTCAATTAGATTTCTGAATGAAGACCCCGGTCGCTTTTTTAGCCAGCAGGCTGGACCTACCATACCAAAGAGGGATGATTAGTTTATGAAAAGGGAAGACGGACTGCAGAGTGGTGCAGCTCACCGACAGTCATAATAATCAAGATGAACAATAAATGTTTTTATATGAAGGAATGAAGTAGATTCATTCTATGAATGCATTCGGGCCCATGTCCACGGGAGTTACAGGCGAGCTATGTATAAACTTGTAGCAAGGTGGTAAGGAGATGAGTCAACATGAGGATAGTCCTGGAGGCAAAGCTGGATTTTGGTGTGATGGTGAATGTGTGAGAGTGGATTAAGGATGCCCCCACCTCATTCAGGGCAACTGAGCAAGCAGGAGAATAAACTGACTGTAATCCATCTGGCTGCCAGATTTTTTTTCTTCTTCTATCACCTAAATCCTCTGGATAAGTGATTAGATTTTACCGTACAATCTTTGGGAAATAGTGGTATTACCCATGATTTCACAAATAGTAGAGCAATATGGGAAATGAGGCTGGATGCTTGGGGGGGTTAATGCACTGAAGGGCTCTGAGAATTCAATATTAAACTTACACCTGACTATACAACAATGATGCTAACAGTTGATTTCTCTATTATCACCGCTTAACATGGGAACTGAGCATGCTTGAATTTTTTCTAACCCAAGAAATAATTATTTTTCTTTCACTTTTATAAACTAATAACTGACACGTACTTCCAGCACTACATTATTAAGCATATAAGTAACTTACACAGTTACACTGCTAGCAAACAGCAACAAAATCCAGTTTTCCTTTTAGTCTTAGTTTACTTTCATACTCCTTTATACAGGGGCATTATTTTCTGACACTTAATAGAAGATCATTAATATGTCTTACCTTCAATGAGTCAAAGCAGGCTATGACTCTTCCATTTTCAATTTGGCAGCTCTTCGACGGATGAGCAAATTTGCATTCCTCATCACTGCGTGAACAGTTTCCTCGCTGAAACTGTCGACAAACTTCCAGAGTTAGCCATTTTGTGTCTCTCGCTGAAGAAATATTTAGAGCCATGTCCAAAAGTTGTAACTTTAAAGCAACTTTTAAAAGTCACTCTTATTGTTGAAAGACTAATTCACCAGAAGCTGTAGCTTAATCGCAGCTTTTAGCTCTGAATACAGTCTGCTTCTTTGTTAAAACAACCAGATGACTCCCCCATCAGAAGGAGCAGAAAAATCAGATGACTAGCCAATCAAAGAAAAATTATCCTAGAAACAAGAACAACTGTGTTTTTTACAGCAAGAGACTGCAGTGTATACTCCACAGCCGAGAACGCCCACAGAGAGTGAACAATGATCTCAACACAGAATTGTTACTCTGTCGTATGTGCACTGGTCAGTAGCCTCCGTCTTGTTATCCTCTATTTTATGGCTTGAATTTCTCATTCTTTTAGGTGCTGAAAGTGTGCAAACCAGCGACAAAGGGCTTGAGCTGAGGTATCCTGTGTTGGTGCATGAGACTGCAACTTAAAAAAGAAGCGAGGGGCAGCAATGTACATGAACCAACTTCAGGTCGGAGATATCTTCTCAAAGGCACTATCTGTTTGTAATCTGAAAGAAAAGAAAACAGGGATATTACTGAAATTAAACTTAATTGTGATTACAGCATCATTAGTCTGTTCAGTGGGCATATTAAGATACGTTAAGATGTTATGTAAAATATCAGAACAAACTCCCCACAGAAAGACAGGTTCAAACCCAGGACCTTCTAGCAGTGAGGTAACCACTGCACCAACATGCCCCCATGACGATAGTGCAGAGCAGACAATTCACATTGTTAGAACTTCTCTGTAAGTAATAAAAGTTCCGCTCATACAAAGCTGTCAGCGTTTTATCAAGAAAAGAGACTTTGCACACACCTGCAAATCACTCACCACCTCACATCTGTTCCTGTCTTTATTTAAAGCCATTAGTCTGCCTCCTCTATAAACTGAATTACAATGAAGTGGCAGATGCCATCCATTTAAACTCATACAACTACACAAAATAGGTTTGAATCAGCAAAGCACAAGTCATACATTTTGCAATCAAGCATAAAAAAATCCGTTTATCTTTCACCATGGAGCTCCTTCTCATCATTTCGTGGGAAATCCAAAGGGAATACAGATGTTTTATGCCTACACATTTCACTCTTTTCCAGGTTATGCTGCCTAAATAAAAGCATTAGCATTTTATAAAGGCACCAGATCACACAATCAGAGTTTTGCTGAAACAGCACGCACGGTTATGACACATTTGCACCAAAGTTTGTTCATCAAGATCCATTAATTGCACTTTATAAGAGTCATACAGTTATTGCAGCCACTTCATTTTTTCTACTTCTCTATATACTGCTAAGCTGGTTGGGAGTCAAACACAAACTGCGTAGTCAGACCTGCAACTACACAGGAAGTTGCTGAGCAGACAGAAAAGGTGGACAACTCATGAGCTGATTAAATCTGCATGATTTGATTTTTTTATCCTACTAAGATCCACTAAAGCTATCAGTAAATACTGCACTCCAAAAGCTGTTTTGCTCTGCTGCGCTTCCTTTTCTTTTGCAGCAACCCTTGGTCTAACAGTACGCTGCAGCAAATTCCTTTAGGCGCAAGTCAGGAAACAGAGCAGGAAAACCGACCTCTCTCACTTCATTCGGCACTAAAATGCTTGTTCTTGTTTCCTGGAATCTAGGCTGGAGATACAACTTTCAAGCTGCTGACTTCTAAATATACTGACAAGAAAAAACAACTCTTACCCTTCTTTCTGTCCCATGGATTCAGTGACTAAAGATTTTCTCTTCACAGCAAGAAAAACAGACTCTCTGCCAGGCTCTGACTAAAACATTTCCAGCCACCCCCTTCCTGTCTGGGAGCTGGCCTCTGGGAAGACCCTCCCAGTTAGAAATTGTCCAATAGGGAACAAGAATCTGATCTGCCATGTGAAACTTCCTGTTGACCATTTATTTATGATTACAATCTGATTACTTTGAGAACGTGGAATTCAACACTTGATCCATGCCTCCAGAGTTTGCTGCTGCAGGGATGAACAATGATGCATGTGAAATAAATTATTTTGCAAGCTTGCACAAAGCTTCTGCACAAACATGACTACAGAGCATGCAGCCAATAAGTGTATATCCTAAACACTCTTTACAGTTAATTATCATAAATACAGGCCTGAGTTATTAGCTCCATACCTTGGATTAGGTGCAGGTCAGTATGCTGGTATTAAAAACCCGTAATAACCCAATGTAAATAGTAATACGCCTTTTTTGTTTTGTGTGTGTTATCTTTCAGTTCTAATTGTAACATTTAAATAATTTCAGCATCCTTCTCAGTTCAGGGGTGTAGCCACTTACTGCTGACAATATGATGAATGGCGTTGTCTTAATGGCACTTCCGAGTATCCCAGGTAGGAATCATTTTGTCTACTTTTTTTAAAAATGTAGTCATTTTCAGAGTAAACGAGGAAATGCACATAAGAAGCACCGCTGTAGGTGTACCATAACAACAAATACAATCATATTGTGTCACTGTAATTCGATTAAAAGCTGTAAGAAAATACTTTAAGGCTTACTAGTACAATGGCAGTCAACTAACTGCCACTATTTTGTATCACGCAGTTTTATTACCACAGTTTGAGACTGCTAGGATGCTTAAGTGTCAGCTTTACAACCCAATCAGAAATACATTCACATTAGCTTGCATTAGCCACACTGGTAGCAGAAAGACAGGACCTGCTTACCTCATCATCACGAACGAGCTGCTTCCCAGAGGATACGACAATCACGCACCAGCTAGGACAACGGCAACCCAACTAACGAAAACAATATGTCAAGTGTTCCCGAAATTTCCTCTCAATAGCCTCTTTATTTCTCGCCCTGTTCTGAGAATTACCGCTCGTTATTTCATCCACGTCTCCGACCTAATTTCTTTAGTTTGTAGCGCTGCACAGATTTAAGCAACAAGCTTTTGACAGCTTACTGTACGACCGACAGTTCAGTGTGATAAAGGGGTGTCCCTGGGTGCGATGCGAAGACTGAAAACAGCCATTAATTCAGCATATGACGTTTCAACCGAGCGTAAGGCGCAATTTATTGTATAGAGACATTTCATACATTAAGTTGATTTCTAAAATAATAATATAGTGGGAAAAAGTAGGCATTCTTTAACTTCTATTTTCTGACACCCACCCTACGTCCGCAAAGTGGTACGATCCACACGAGTGCCAGTAGGCTAAAAGGGCAAGGGTTTGCTTGTTACCAAGGGAACAGCAATAAAACTATGTGAGTTTTGTGGATTATGTTCATGAGAGCGCTCGTTCCCACACAAATATAAACAAATTAACGAAGAATGTATATATATATTTTGAAAAAGGCATTGGAAAGTGAGAATTTAGCAACAAACAAAAACTTTACAAATATATATGTGTGACGTCTTGTCCATTTATTTGGAAGAAAAGTAGTTATAAAAATATAATTTGTACAAGATATTAAAAACCTGTATATGTATATTAATAATATGAAGCAGATGCAGTAGCATGCAATCTCACAGGTCTGCTCAAGGTCAAATAAGATGGATGCTAACCGAGATAGGATGTCAGAGAGGAAATGGAGGGAGACAGAGCAGAGACCATCATTTTGCTATAAAGTCAAATATTTATACTATAGAGATATAAAAAATGCTTACACTGGCACATGCATGCCAATTTTCTACTTGTCATATTATTTGTAAAAACACACACACACACACACACACACACACACACACACACACACACACACACACATATATATATAAGATTCACCAGTTTAGTTTCCACTACTTGAGAGAGAACCCACCCTGAC